TGGTGATGACAATGTCGTGACCAACTGAGATGAAGATGATCGTGGTGTTGTTGAGAGTGACGTTGATGGTGGTGGTGATGACAATGCTGTTGATAATGATGATGTTGCTGATGATAATGATGGTGATTGTGAAGATGTTGTTGATGATATTGATATTGGTGTTATTTTTGACAATGATAGCGATGGTGGTTGTGGTGGTGCCGACGATGTTCTTGATAGTGATGATGGTATTGGTGTGGATTGTGATGATGATGATGCTGGTGTTGATGACGATGTTGTTGAAAATGATGGTGTTGTTGATAATGATAATGTGAGTATTGCTGTAGATGTAGTTGGTAATGGTGTGAAAGATGATGCTGTTTTTATTGTTGTTGATGATGATGATAGTGGTGGTGTTGACAATGATGATGCAGATGATGTAAATGTTGCGGATAATGTAGATGATAATGATGATTTTAATGTTGTTGATGATGATGATATCATCTCTGGATAATGCAATGGAATTGTTGACCTAACAGATGATAAAGATGACAAAATCGACGAAGATGATAGTGTTGATGATGATAAATCCATCTCTGTACACAAATATTTTGAGGAACCAGATTTAACAGCGTCTGTCGATAACGTTAATAGCAACAAAGACTTGGTAGGTTTAATGCTACCTCCAATACTTTCCAATGATGTGGTTGATGTAGTTGATACTGTAGAAACTCGATCAGGTTTCGAAGAGGATGTTGAAGACGATAATGATGATAGTAATTGCGATTCTAATGGTGCCAACTTTAGGTGCACTGAAGTTGAAGGTTCTGAGAATATTATCGGAGACAGCGCAGGAGATACTATTACCCCTCCTAATGGTAATGTCAATATTACCGATGAACGCAATGTGTTATTCATAGCTGACATATTTGTTCGTGAAGAATTGGAGTGTGTTGGGACAGATAACGTCTTCGACGAAAACAAATTGATTGTTGATTTTTCATTCTGTGAGACGAATGTTCCAGTCGACATTACATCCTGTTTTGACAAAGAAGGTAAATAAACAAAGTGCTGTGGAGATAATGGAAAAGAAGATGGCCAAAGCATTGTAGTTGTTGATGGAAAAGGTGATATAACTTTACCATGCCCAGAAAATGACTTTGATATTTCTACTCGTGTTGTTGGTTGTACAAATGTTAGAGATGRCGTATCAAATGATGAAGATGAGAATAAAATATCTTGACTCTCTAGTGATGAAGGGAAAGATGACGGTGAAAACTTTTGGGTCGTTGATAATGATAATGATGTTGTTGTTGTTGATGTTGATGATGATGAAAGTCCTTGATGAGGCTTTGATGGCTGTATCAGTGGCGTTGTCCTTGCTGTTGCTTTCGATAATGATGATGATAATAATGATGATGACGATGACAGTGATGATGATGGTGATGGTGATAATGATGATGAAAATCCTTGACGTAGTTGTGGTTGTAACATAGGGTATTCAGTTTCTGTTGTTTTTGATGATGATGATAACACTGATGATGATGATGATGGAAATGCTCCAGTCATTCTTGAGGACCGCAAAAGAGACGCTTCCACTGCTGTTGCTGATGAAGTTACTGTTGCTGCTGATGAAAACGTATGTATTATTTGCGATGACAGTGAAGATGGTGTTTGCACGGATGATGACTGCAATACTGGTATTGTTACCGAGGTGGGATGAACATCTAACGTTCTTTCCAAAGGCAATGATGTTACATGATAACTTGTTCCAGAATGTGTAGTTAATATGGTGACGTCTGTCGTAGTTGTTTTATTTGTCGATTGACTGTTCCGTGAAGATCCTGGCGTCACTGATGATGTTGACATACTACGTGATGACGATGTTGTTGCTGCTGTTGATGCTATTTTTGCTGATGATGACAATGACACCCCTTTGAGTTCAACAGTTAATGAGGATGATGGTATTGTTAATGATTTGACAGGCGAAGATGATAATGGAGTTGCAGTTCCTGTTGTCGAGGATGTAGAAGTTGAAGATATTATTGCTGCTGATAATGATGATGACAACCCTTTGGATTGGACAGTTGAAAATGAAAACGATGACACAGATGATAGTGATTTGACAGATGATGATGATTGTGATGTTGATCTTGTTGCTGTCTTTGATACTATTGCTACTGCTGATGACGACGAAGATGGCAAGACTTGAAATTCCACATTATTTAATGAAGATTGGGGTACAGATGATGATATCGAATTGATAGATGGTGATGATAGTGGCAGTTCTTCAGATTCCAAAGTATATGAAAACGGCGATAAAGACTGTGAATACGACAGTGTTCTTTCATCGATTCCAGTAACGTGCCCATTTGAACTGATCGCTCTTGTAATTCCAACAAAAGGCGAGCCTTGATTTAACTGCTCTTCCAGGTCGTGCGTTTGTTCTGCATGTACAGCTGTTGTGACYTGAATAGGATTTGCAATCGTTCTGAAAAGTAAAAAAACCGGCTAGAAGTTAGATACAGTTTACTGTTTACCGCCAACCGGTTGGCTCGGTTGAGCATCGGACTTTCGTGCGGGAGGTCGTGGTTCGAGTCCCGGCCGGACCAACACTCAGGGTCTTAAAATAACTGAAGAGAAAGTGCTGCCTTTGTAATTACATCTGCAAATGGTTAGACTTTCAAGTGGCTCAGATGACCACTTTATATGGCGGTCCCGTCTCTCCACATTTACTAACCAACATCGGAGAAACCCTGGCAGTGACCACAGTAAGTGCAGGCTACACCTCATACTAACCATCTCTCATCCAATAATCATTGTAAAGCGCCTTTCGAACATATCCATATGGAAAAGAGCGCTATATAAATATCATAATCATAATCATCTCGAGTCGAAACTCATCCAGTCCTATTTTTCGATAAAACAACAATTCCTGTATCGCAGGAGTAGAGATATACCGTATGTACTGATTTTATTAGTCGCGCGAGAGTGAAAAAAAATTACAAACAGATTAATAGACTTCTAATTCCATTGTTTTCGTTTGTTTTCTTCTGTTGATCATTTTATTAATCATAAAACTTCGTATCACGGGCAAAGTAAAACCCCTTTAGTATATCGTGTAGCAGACACGGAGTCAAACCTCGAGTGTACTACTTTTTCTGGACAAAACTTGAAGATAATTCATGTACTTGAAGGGTACAAATATTTGCACTGCTATCTCGCTAACCACAGGCAGCGTGAACACCCAATTTGCAACCATAAGGTGCCAGACAAATGGCGTGTAAGGATTGACAATAGCCATCGTACCACCCACTAACGACGTTAAGGTTTCTAATCCCCTTTTGATAAATGTTTCCTAGACGGTTAGAACACTTCGTGGTTTCGCGATAGAGTTTCACTACTTGCTAAAACAGTCTTATTTGTGGCCAAAAACTCTCTGGATCGAACAATGCTCAATTCACTACTCTAAGGGTGCAGCCTTAGAAGAATTATTCTTAGTCGGTTTTAATGGAAATACCGTCATGTCTACTCGAGAGTCTCTGTCTTAATTTAATTTTTGAATTCTTTATCATCCGCAATAGTTGATCTCTTCCGTAGATCTCCATTAATTGTTTTTGATTTTAAACAAACTTTATCGATAAATGCTACCCATTTTTAGACATTCATTGTGGTATGTTGTCTGAGTTTCCAATTCAGAAAACCTACTGGATGAAAAAGAATATAAACGACTCACCTTGTTGGTAAAACGATACTTGAAATAAAGACAGATGAAGATCCGCCTGGTAATAGTTCTGAGTGGCTGTTATGCGCAAACAATTTCTCTAGACTAGATTTCTTTCTCTTATCTCTTAGCCCCGTTATCAGCGCCTGCAAAACAGCTCCTATAGTTATGGCRTCTAATCCTTGTGAGGTCTTTGTAGAAGAGTAATTAGTTAGCTTTTCCTTCACCGTTCTACTTGATTTTCTTGTAGCTTCATTTTTATTGGCAACAGATCTTTGAGCGGCATGATTTTGACTGAAAAATTCATGCAAACTTTGAGTCGACTCCTGAAATAAGACTGTCGAATTCTTAATCATTTGTCTAATTGGAAAAATCTTCTTTCGCTTATCTGTCGTTGATCTTTTGACCAAATCATTAATAAATCCATAAACATCGTCTGTAGAATTTTGATTATTTCCTTCACTTTGGAAGTTAGCGTTGGATTTAAGCCTCCGGACATCATTGTCCTGTATCTGTTGAAGCAGTGCCAACGGCACAATGAAGACTAGAATAAACCCTGAGAAAGATATAACACGAGCAATTAGAATTACGGTGCAACAGCTCTTGTGATGAGAGGATGATGTTAAGTAACATCAACTACAAAAGATTAACGATTTAAAAATTGAAAACTCTTACCAATCAAAGTAAAACGATACACCATCGTTGCTTGCTTTAGTCCGGTATTTTATCCGTAAGACCAGAGTTCCCCTCTATTAACTCTGGAAATACTTTGAAAACCCATTTCAAGAAATGCACGGAATCAAAAATCCGCAGACGAAAGAAAGACCACAGTTCAATCCCTTGAAGCCTTGAATGCGTTTAGTTATTTTGCCTTAATTCTGTGCCCATGTACGTCGATGTAGAATCAGCATAAAGATTAGATAATAATAATAATACTTTATTCAAAAAAATGCAGATTACATATTTTGAAAAGGAAGACATTGAGGTTAGCCCTATATAAGTCCCCTAGATCAATCCTTTCAAGTTATTTTAATCGAACAGCCCGTATTTTCTCAAAGATTTCACACGACATGCAAAGTTTCAGGTCTTACAGTTCACGAGGCAAACAAGAGATTTAAGAAATATTTTTTGACAGTGATAAGGACTAATAATAGCGTAACTTGAGCCTGYAGGCGTGCTACAAATAATATGTACTAAACAGTGTTTTTTTGTCCGCATACCGGAAATGACCACAGATGATACAATTAGAAAAACATTACTTCGAGGGGTTTGTTGGGCAGATAGCAAATCCGCCAACAATGCTGTTATCAAATAGATGCAAAGTTTAGGATTCTTTTCATTTATCAGACTCCACCAAAACAATGTAATCAAGAAGTTCAAAATAATCAGTAGTTCAAGGCCCTGGTAAGCTTTAATGAGTGTCCCAGTTACGGTCGTGACCCAGGGAAAGAGCTTTGGATATTTTTCAACGGGACGTCTCAATGACCCACAGTTGAAGCAGCACAGATGGCTTCCAAATACTAAGACTTTTCGGCAGGCCGCATCCTTGAAAAAGACAGAAATAGCAAAAAAGAAAGAAGAAAGAAGAAAGAAAAATAAAAGAGAAGAGTAAGGAAAGTGGGACAAAAAAAGGAAAACATCGGCATAACGTACCAGAAACGTCAAACGTCTAAAACAAGGTGGAACAAGGGGGGCAAGTGACAAGAAACGCTGGAAAAATCAAGGTAAAAACCCAGCAATCCTAGAATGTGCTCTATGATCATGAAAACCTGATCCAGGCTGCGTTAAACATTATAAACAATCCTTACATCATTTGAGCTTGGGATACCTGGCTCACATTTAACCAACAATCTCTCATTGCCCTGGAAACCAGGGAATCTATACATGATGGCCATGCTGTGGTCTATGCATGGGAAAAGTGTACTTACTCATAATTCTTACATAGCACAAGAATAATAAAATTTTCTAGCGTGAAAAAAATTGACTGAATTAACAAATAATTGACAGTTTCAGTCGTGATAAATCCATAAAGACATGTGACATTTTTGTTGGACGTCGTGTTTCATTTCTCACGTGTGCGAGACATTCTTCACTGTTTTGGTCATTCTGAATATGCAAATGAAGAGGAAGACTCATAAAGTTTTCAAAGACAAAAATCTAAAAAAAACTTTCATCAAAAAATGAGTACCAACTAAAAACCTCTAGTCGGATCAGTAAAGCATAGTTAACTAGAGGGGTCACCACTTTATTAACTATCAGTAAAGGAAGTTATTCACATCAAGTAAACCTAGCAGTGGCGTAATGGCCTCCCACGGAAGCCTCAAAGACAACGATGAAAGAAAACTCCGATAGCAAAAACCGTTTATTTCCTCTACTCTCACGAATTCATGAAACTCATTCCATGATTGAAAATCCCTAATCATGTTGAAAACCGAAGTGATTAAATTCCGAGCTACTTTTAACACTTACTTCTTTTAGTAAATAATTGGAAGGAAGAAAAAAAGATGAATATATAAGATTCGGTTTACATGATTTTGTTACGTGTCCTCTAGGAATTAGAATTATTTCAAATTTGCATCATTTATTCTCCGGAGCAGGGCTCCCTGCTGTGAACATGTAACAAGATTCACTTGGCTTAAGATGACCAAATGTCACGTCCTAGATGGTAAAGCACGAGTAACTTTTCACTTGTTGAAAAAATTAAACGTATTTTTGCCCGAGTTCAAATGTAGTCAAAGTAAATCAATGGATTTGATGACAACGATAATAAAAATGAAAACTCAGTCAAAAAAAACAACAAAAAAAACAAAACAAAACAAAACAATTAAGTGTAGAGAGATGAAATAAAGTAGTCTATAATAAATGTAAAATTAAAATGAAATGAAAAATTAATCCAAGAAATAAAAAATAAGATAAAATGAAAGTGAAGAAATTGCTTCGTCGAATCTTGCCAAACCAACTACGAAGCGTCTGATATCACTTCCTTGCACGACTGTCATATGACCAAACAAGTATAAAATTCTTTTTCTCGACGTAATCACTGGTATTACAGAGAGAAAAAACTATCAAAACAGCCCTCGGAATTCCCTAAAAGCAAATAAATTTTAACTCATGTTTATCACAGGCTAAAGCCAACAAAATAAAATTCAGGTGCAATTCTTTCTTCGCGCCATTGGATTCAATTATTACTATTAAATTTATAATTATGCTTTTCCTAAACTGTTCAATTTTCCCACGGTTCTGGTTAATACTTATGTGTATGAAAGAATATGGGCAACATGATATTGATTGAGGTCAGCTTTGAGATTAGAAGAACCGGAATAAACAAGAAAATTGGACTGCTTCTTCAGGCGAGACTGGGTCATGTGCACGTAATGATACAAAAATGTTAAAAACACAGGAAACCCAGCTCAGTTTCCTAGATATCGATGCTGACTATGTAGAACACAGGCTCTTGGTAGCTAAGAAACTGCAATTGGTTAAAAAAAAACCTGTGTACACGTATATGCGCCAATCAGCAATGAAAACTTTGTACTATGACTGATAACAAAAATATGACAAAAAGAAAATGATTAAAACATGGAGAAGCTTTCTTTCACCGGCAATAATTAAAGCTACAGTTACGAAATAATGTTTTCCCCCAGGACTTTGTATCAGGGATCGCGCAGAGGGAGCTCTAGTACATACTATAGAATACTAGTTTACTATCTTTTCTAGAGTAATCCCCCTCCATAGTCCCAGCCCAACATCGTAGGGTCCACCGTGAGCCTTAAAGTCTAATGAAGCATTGATAATTGAGCAGCAGGTTCTAGTTTGAGCGAGTTAGAAGCGAACTTGCGGCTGCCGCTAAAGGTATAGAGGTTTTGCACCATCACGTGATGGCAGCCATGTTAGATGGCAGAAACAACACAAGTCGTTTAATTTTACATAAGAATTCAAAAGAGATTTCTTTGTTATACCATCTATCCACAGGCAGCCCAAGCTGTATTATGGGCGTGGGCATGTGATGGTTCAAAACCTCTATTAGTCATTCTGATGTCGAGTCAGAGACTGGGTCGTGTTGGATTTGCAGTGCATTTTGGGACTGTTTCATGGGACAAAATAGACGCCATCTTGAAAATATGCCCCCCTAAAGAATTCATCAATGCACTGCAATACCAACTTAACTCAGTCTTTCACTCACCCTCGGAATAGCTAATCCTTCATCGACAGGTCACCTGATCACTGAAGGAGTGAAAACAGGGCTTTGAACAGTCTTCGTTGCTTGAAGATGTAGCCAAGTCATATAAAAATAATAATAAACCTCCTGATACAATTGCAAAAGTCCCATTACCCCCCCCCCTCCCCCCTGGTAAGTTGTAAGAGTAGAGTGCACATATTTTCCACAAAAACTAAAACTTTTTGTATGCATATTATACAACCCATAAAATTATTATAAATATAGTAGTTCTCTACAGCACGATCAGACTAAAGATACTTGGCTAGAAGTTCGATAGATCTTGTAAGGTTTGACTGTTTGTTGGTCAATCCTTCTAAGGTCCATTTGACTGCTTGCTCTCATTACAGGCCTATCAGAAGGTTGTGTGTTATGACCACTACTAAAACTACTATTAAATCGCCCTCTTTGAAACTGAACTGGTTCTGTTTGAGACCGGTGATGATGTGGGCTTCTATGTTCGCCATACCCTGAAATAACGGGCATGCTTTCGTGCCGTGAGAGGGGTTTAAAGTTCAATGGAAATCCTCTTGTGGGAGAGCTATTGTTCTCATTCACGTATCCAAATATTGCGAAAGCTTTTCCTTTGAATTTCGTAGAATCTTGGCTAGGATTTTCATTAATGACGGGCATACTGGTCACCCTGTGGAATTGCCCCTCCATGCTACTGTTGGACCTGGATCGAGGTAAGCTTAGATTAAAAGCTTGAAAAGAGTTCGTACTGTTACCACGGGCGCTCTGAGTTCTTTTGTTATTATTAATATCTATGTCGATCGACGAATGACAACTTGGTAGATTTATAACAGATACGCTCCGTACTCGAGGTGGTCGAGCTTTGACCGGCTCACTTTCGAACACGTCATTCTTCTCATCACCACTTTCTTCATCCGTGAGAATCCCTGAATCTTGTTTAGCGTGGGATACCTGTGCTCGGGAGCTTACTTCTACTTTGGTGACGGACGAGGAGGCCTCGGTCGGGTAGCAAACAGCCTCGATTTCGCTCTCAGTTTCACTCCTGTCTTCCTGTTCCCATGATTCATTGAGGGATGTTTTAAGGCCGAGTATCGTAGAGTTGAGCTTCACTAGTTGTTTATGTATGGCTCGATCTTGCAGCTGCATGGCGGCCTACGAAAGAAACCATTACAGTGAAATAATGAGTTTTCAATCTACAGCAATCTTTAATGCTGGTTTTCACTTCGTCGGAATTGCAATCGGAATTCGATTCGAAAGCCGTTGATACATGAAATCGTAAGCGAAAATCGCTCGTTATAAGCGACATTGAGCGACGAGCCAGGCCAAGAAAAAACCTTCTGATCCTTGCGATTTCGAATCCGACGCACTTCCGATTACGATTCCGACTTTGTTTCCGATGTTTACCATCGTTATTGATAAGCTGCTTCTAGCTGATCTGAGAAAAACTGTTGACCAATCAGAATCGAGAAAATTTGTCGCTTTTTCTTTTGAAATCACAGATTTCCCCAGGTCACCAAATGAAAACAAAACCTTCGTAATTAAGCTTTTGATAACAATAATAAGTTTTATATCTTGAATGTGCTGGCTTGTTTTTATTTTTCACTGGTCAATTCAGACTTCATGACACCCCAGTTTTACAGTGACGTCATTTCTACGTCACTTTTTCAGATGATCAGCTGCGCTTTCCATTTCCATTCCGACTCGAGCTCCGATTCCGACTTGATTCTATCACTAGTGAAATCCAGCCTCTTGCTTTCCTAATCTAATCCCACCTACGAGGTTGTTCAGGAGTTTTGCAAATGAGTTGAATTGTGCAAACGTGAAGGCATATAGCTTACTATACTACTGACAAGTGATAAAACGGCGCAGACGCAAGGAATGTTGGTCTGGGATAAAAGAAACGAAATCAGAGGCCAAAGAAAAGTAAAATTTCTGAACTTGTAATATTAAGACGGGAAACCCTATAACTCTCCCTTACTCAATGCTAAGATACGAGTAAAATTAGCCCCTCTAAACTAGTGCCCTACAAGTACGGAAGACCTTTTAAAAGACGCTTTTCTAGGTAACAGCCATAAGACAGTGGAGGCGCCACTGCACTAGTGTCATTTCCTATTTTAAATAACGTAATACCTATTATATTTCACACCTACAGTTCGGGTGAATCTTTAAATAAAATAAAAATAAATAACATGGTTATATTTCTCTGCGCGCTGACTTGAATTGTCTGCAAGAACTAGCATGGCTTTAAAAGCCCAATTTGGTTTGTCCTATTCAGTATGCAAGACCAGAAAATCCGATTACCTATTATCCACATTATAAATTTCGACTTTTCTCTAATCCCAGAGTAGTTTTATCCGCTTTGTGAAACGGTTTTTTCGTCCGCACTTGCCATTCCCCCGTGTCAGATAGAGAAACAGATGGCTCGTATTTGAATGAATCAATACAGCATAACTGCCTGCCCCAAGGATAGCGTGTCATAGATAGTTAAATTAATATCAATCAAGGTAGCATGTTGATCCTCAAATGACCTTATTGCCGATTGTATAAACAAACCCTGTTAATCCCCTGCTCAGACTGCAAGGAGGATTAATTCATTATTAGATATAAAGCCGACATGGAACTCATTATTAATCGGTCAATCGATTGTTCAGTTATCAACCGATACTGATGATCAATCCCTCCCCCCCCCCCCCCCCCCCTTCTTTTGAGCAAGCTATAAGCTGCAAGTTACATCCCATCAAGAAAATTCAAATGGACAGTAGCGATTGATATATATTCCTCTGTTCGATCGTATCGACATTTAATAGTGTCCCTACTTTGATAAATTAAAATGCTCTGTTCTTAAGGAAAGTTGAGACAAGAAAAACCAACAAAACAACAAAATGACAAAGAACGAATACAAAACCTACAACAGAAAAAAAGACAGAAGAGAAAAGGCAGAAGAAAAAGGAAATGAAAAAAATGCAACGTCAGAGGAATTAGAATTTATTAAAAATAATCATTGACAAAAGTTTATCTAGTACCAAAATGACATTAATGAAAACGTTTTATTTCTTGACCAGCACTAGCCATTTATATCAATAATGGTCTTAATATTATAAATGTAATCGAATCTAAGATTCAGCAACTGCAAAAAGATCAAGCAAATTTTGCATCCAGCTGCATCCCATGAAACGTGGATTCCAAAAAGAGTAGTGAATACTATAGTTTTATAAAGACCAAGAGAGTGCCAGGTTCAAGAAATGCAGATATCGTCATAAACCTTATAATGTTAAATGGAAGTCGAATATATCATGAATATATTTGACCCCTTCTTTTGTCCATAATGACGTTAACATTAACACATCATTCGACCCCCTAGAGAGGCAAAATGATAACTATTTTTTCTCTCCAAGAATTTTAGTGGCATACAAAAAAAAATGTTTGGACGTCTTAGTGATTCGATCCGGTTCGATCAAGCTAAATCTTTAAGTTCATCTTCCTCAACTAAATCCGGCTACATCAAGGCTCGCTCACTGTCGTTTTTCATCAAGAACGATCTATTTACACCTCTTATACTTCAAAGATAAATAACGAAATGCTTTGTATGAGGATTAACTGAAGTATTCAGCACAGAAAAAATGGCTTTCCTGTCATACTAAAGACTTCACAACGACACGTTTAACAATTTTGTGCGCTATCATTTAAGCTTAAAGTACGTATAGACACAAATAATTTTTTATCCTTCGATGCAAAAATTACTTTTTAAAACACTTTTTTTTATGTTTTCAAAACCGATTTTTTTTCACGTAATTTTATTTCACCCTGAATTCTGTCCCGTTCCTTTTTGTAATTTTCGTTCACTTTCCGTTTCGTTTATATCAAATAAAAATCTTTTTGAATCGTTATACGGGTCTATGAATAACACAAGTTCTTTTTTTTTCATATCAAATCTTGTCAAAAAAGCTTGACCTCTAAAAGACAGCCTCTTGATTTCCCCTGAAGAAATTTTACACTTCAAACCACTAAAGATTAAAAACAAAACCAACACTAGCATTAAGTTCATCGACGCCTCTAGATTATATATTACTTAAGTAATTTTTTCTTCTTTAGTTCTTATAATTATTTGAAATTTTAACAGAAAAATAAACTTTGCGGTCGATGAAGTGCTTGATAGTTCCTGGAAAAAACACATAACGGAGTGTATTATTCCGTTGAAGACAGAAAAATCATTCATAGAGTAATCAGACTGTTTATATTTGTTTTCTCTTCTTAGTTAAGTTATATAGCTCCATGCCGAGCGAAGATTTTATAGCTTTTTTTGTTATTGAAAAATTAAGTTCATCTCGCATGCAAAATACTCGGCTAGTCACGGTCATTTACATATTAGGTTCAGGTTATTGCCGCTCAAAATGTCGTAAAATCAACCTTATCCCTTCGTAAGTACTACAAAAGTGTCATGAATTTAAAAGAAAAAGTATTTAGAATTGATCTTTCCGTTCTTTTTTGCGTCGATAATACGAAAAAGCCGGCAATATACATATCTATATATGTCGATAATTTTCCTGCGAAAAATGACATCTCAAAGTTGCTCTTAATATTTGTTTTACCGAAGCGTTTGTACATACTTTAAATATAACATTCCACGCAGATCGTACTCACCAATTCTCGTCGAAGAAAAGCCAGCGAGCTATTCATGTCCAAACGCGGTTTTTTCCACAGTTTTGGATTCRTATCGGGCATGTTAGGCCCAGCAATACAAGGCCAAGGTATGTCCTCTGGTCTATCCGCCATTCTCTCAACCGCAGATTTGACTTGAAAAGCCGTAACTTTGCCGCGAAATTTTTTTTCCATGTTAAAACTAAGACCTTTTTTTCTTGACGATGACTAGTTTAGGAACTGAGAGTTTAATATCGAGGCTATCGGGACGCCATGTCTAATGTTGCTCTGAGAATCTAATATATAGCGCAAGTGAGTCAGGTCGAGGCCAGAGTGTTAGCAGAATAAATAATGGTTGCCAACATCCTTTTGTTCGGGCCAGGTCTGGTTTCACAAAAACATAATTGAGCGATATTGTTAGTGAATGAATAAGTCTCTTGTGTGTCTATCAATTCAATCTTACTAGAGACAATACCAGTTAGGGCTTGCAATTTCTTCAATTACTAGAATTACAAGTAAGATACTTCTTGAGACCAACCAACTTTTTAAGTCACCTGCCAACGAGTCTATTAATCCTATTGCTTTTTGCCCTCCTACGCGTTTCCAAAGAATTCGTCCCCAACAAATAGACTAGAGTCTAAACACAATCAGACTGCTTCGTCTTGGATCGCACATATGCAAATGACAATAACTACTTCAAATTATATGCTTACGAGGGGCTAACGTTCGTATGGCTATGAGGGGGCGATTTCAGAAAGGAATACCAACACGATTTGACAAGTTCAAAAGGTTTAACTATTGAAAACGAAGAAAAAATCAAGGTCGAGTGAAGACATTATTTTAATTTCTCACAACCTGGTATAAATAAGGACAAAAAAAAAAACCCGACAGCAATTAAATAATGTCTCTAACAAGATTTGAACTTCCATTTTTTAGATGTAGGGAACGTAAATTCGAGTTTACAAATCAAAAAATAATACCAAGATCCAGACCATGTTTACTTTAAGTTATAAAAGAGTAATGTTTGATCGGAGTTTTTGAATTTTCGACTGGTTTGATTACATAGCAGATTCTTGGATATCCTCGAGTTCAAAACATAGGTCGAACATATGGGTATATTTTTTCCCATGACGTATGCACCTTAATTACTGTGGAAAAAGATAATTTGACAGATGTGCCAGAATAATTGGGGTTTTTATTGGCTACCAGACTGTTGAACTCAAGTAGTTTTAAGTGATTTATGCATCACTCCTTTGTTTACATCTAATGGAGTTTTCTGCACTGAAAGCGTCTTATAACAACACCCCCTTGAGCAATCACTGTAACAAATCGCTTGTCATAGTACTACCAACGTTTAAATACTAGAAAATGTCGAATAATAGGCTTAAAGAATATCGATATATCCACGCGCTGTAGTTTAGAGCTTCCTTTGTCAGTTTTTTTGTTGAAAAAAATTGTTTTTATGGAGCTGCAAGAATCAATTAATTAAGTTTCTAAAAGCATCCGGAAACAAACACTTTAAGTCTAATGACAACGTAACCCACCGGCTATGTTTACCGACCATGGAAGGTTATAAAAGCACTACTGATTCCATCCGTCAAAAGTGATCTGAGGTCAAAATACTTTGTCATTAATAGCTGAAATGATGACGATGAACCTTCACCTGGCAGATCAAATCTACTGACTTGTTCTGGTGTCCAATACAGGGATCGAACGTATAACCTTTTTGATCATTAACAAACATTGAATAGTCCGTTTCTTAATGAAAAAAATGGTCAGATCTGGGAAACGCCGTTTACTTACTACTTCTTACTAGCAAAGTCAAGAAAAGCACTAGCAACTTTGCTACAGTAGTTGCTATAGTACTCAGTTTGAGCCCTGTAATAGAACCCTTGCATGTGACGTCAAAGCAGCTCAATTTGGAGGACGATACTTTCAAATATATGACGACAACGTGCACGGGTATACATACGAGATTTTAGATACATATCACATCGCTAACTCACCGCCCCAAGTACAGCAGTGGCGCAGCTCGACAACGGGGTCGAACTAAAAAAGAATTTGGAATAAAGTAGCTAGGCAATGTTAAGTAATGAATGGAGTAGATAAATTAATACCAGAATACCGTAGAAGCTGGCTTTATGTTCATTCATAACGTTTTTTTTTTTTTKTTCGATTGGCTTATTACTAGGGGGCTTATATCCAGGGGGAGTAGAGCTCATATTCTTATATTCTGGGGGGAGGTGGGGGGATTATAACAAGAAGGAAATAGAGTTTGTGATAAAAATGAAAATGGCTATAATTGACTACACAGGTAGTTAGGCCAGATTGATGGATAACGAGTGTTGTACGAGTTCTAGTAAGTTAATGGTATTTGAAAATAGGGTATATAAGTGCAAAGATAGGCTGGTAAGTAAGCAATTATTGGCATCACAGGTAGCTAGGCCAAATAGATGAATAAATAGTGTTAGGTGAGTTAGTAGTGAGGTAATGGTACACAGACAAATAGGGCAGATAAGTGCAAAGATAGGTTGGTAATTAAGTAAACCATTGTCACCAGGGATAGGTGGCTATGATTGAACTTGGGGGAGAAGGAGGTGATTCGTCAGTGGGACGAGGAGATAAAAGGTAACTAGGAAGGTTGGGAGTCAGACAGGACGGTTGGGAGCCAGGGTAGATAGTTTGATAGATGGGTAGGTATAGTTTGGTAAGTAAACGGTGCCAGATAGATGGGTAAGTGCAAGCGGCATCAGGAGTAGTAATATACCCCTTGCATGTGACCTCAAAGCAGCTCAATTTTGAGGACAAAACAAAAGAATTTCAATCTCCTGAGAATCTGAAACATATTGTGTTGCCCTCCAAATTAAGCTGCATTCTGCTTTTAATTTAGACCTGAAGCTGAAAGGAAGGTGCAAGGGTGCTATGGCATCAACACTGTTGCTATATAATTCCATTCCATTATACTCCAGTTTCAAGTTCTATGTTTCTCACGGGGTTAGCCCTCAATTTTGTGCAGACTATTCAGTGTGTTCCAGTAAAAGTCAGTGGAATTTCAAAATGTTTGTATCGTTGAAGTTGTGCATTCTTTACTCTATTGTTGGTATTTGTGAATATTTTGATGCTCAAATGAGGTAAAGTACACAACTGTAATTTGTAACTCAAAAAAGGTCTCCTTGCAATTATAACTAGACTGATAAGATCAACTGCTTTACGTTGTACAAATTAATTAATATTACTGTGATGCCTCCAGATTTACATAGCTGGTAGAAGAATCTTGAAGGCACCCTCAGGTGAAAGCTGAATACAATAATGTCATTAATGAATTATTTCAATCTGCAATTTAGCCATTGAAATGTTATCTATATTTCCTGGTCAATGTATGTCATGCTTGAACCTTGTCCTCGATGCACACTTCTAGGTATTAAAACGATATTTTTGTCCTATAAATCCTTTAATCTCGGCGGGTAAGATCCTATTTAATATGAATTCCTCATTTCATTCAAATACTAAACACCTTTAGAAGCCGTTAATGCCACATTGTTATTGAATAACGAAAACATACGAACAAAGTAAAGATATTGAGTTTAGTAGGAGATTAGGGTTAATCGAGCAAATGTCAAAAGGGCTATTATTATTATGTTTTTAAAAATCATTGACGTGGGACTAATCCAAATTGGTCATGAAATTTGGTCTGAATGATATTACGTAGTCATCAAATGCAATCCATATTCTTTGTTTTCACCTTACGTCATCTGGTGGATACCTGCCTGGCCCACAACTAAGCAGGGCCGCCATGTCTTTGTCGTTTGATTCTTTAGGAAATGGTTGAATACCACCAATTCGACGTCATACGCCGCCATGATGGAAGAATTTGACAGATGATTTTTCATAAATTATTCTTCTGTCACATCTTCCAACATGCCGACCATGGCTTTTTTTGGTCCTCTAGGAATGATTGAATGTGGAAAAAAAAAAAAACGACTGTGATTTTAGACTCCCGAGTAGGAGGCTACAATCTCTGTGGCTCACATTCTCAAAACTGCGTTCGAACTTTACTTTGTTCAAATTAAGTTTCAACGTTGAATCATAGTTGAACCAACTGCTTATCATCTTACCTCTTTTCTCACTCACCTAGAGCCCTTGAAATTTTTCTTGTGACCTTTTATGTTCTTGACCTTTCAAGTGTGGGGATGCTTGCTGCTGTCCGCCATTTTCCCTGCCCGCAAAGCACGATAGTTTTCTGGATCTGGAAGTAATCTGAGTTTATCTCGAGGGATTCCCGTGAGGGCCCTGAAGGGGATGTCCTAATCCCATTTCTCGGCCCCGATTTTCACCAAATCACCACAGTCCCGGCCTATATTTTGCTCCAATCTCAATCCCATTCCAATTTTTCTTTTTCTTTTCGTTTGTGAATCCCATTCCCAGTGCATAAAATCCCATCTTCCCAGCCCCAAAAAGGTGGATCCCAGCTCCCATTTTACCCCCAGGACCCTCGACAATGGGCGCGGAAAAAAAGCTGCAGTGTACTTCTATGGACGTAACAGTGATTTCACTTTACAAACAGTCAAACTAAAACAGCATAAAACAATTGAATCTGTCAGCAAAAGAACAGTTTCAGAATGCGGTGCTACAACCATTCCCTGGATCCGCCCCTGAGACAACTTCTCTGTAATACCCTGATTATATTTTCAAGAAAAATCACTTCAACCATATACCTTAACCGCTAACTTTATAGCGAACTACTGTTACAGCTTTTAGCTAGTATTACTCTAAATAAATCACAAAGTTGAACGCACGTTTGCTCCTTGGGCTTCCACTCCTCCTCTTTCGTTCCTAGTTCTTCTCTGCCATAAAATTTAACACAGGGGTCCCAACTGAGAATATATAGTGTATATATGGAGTAGCCTGTGGAGGAGGCTAAGCCTAACCAATTGTTTCTCTGACTATTTAACCATAAATGCTCTATTCAGCTCCCATAGTATTTTGGCGGTCCAGACTCTTACCTCGTGCTAAAATTCACATGGCGATAGCCAACAAAATAGTGCGCGCATTATATTCAGCTTCTTCTCGACCTCACTTCTTTTGTAATATGCAACTGAATCAGTACATGCTGTTTGTGCCTATATTTGTATTTCCTGCAGCGATGTAGAGGGCATACCATATATGCATTAAAGAGTTAACCAAATTGTACAAATTAGGTTTGTACAAGGTTTGTACAACTTACTAGACCTTACTAATTTTTGCAAATTTTTCTTACAAAGTTTTTAGGGCTGAACACCTTTTACCGCTTAATATTAACCAAGACATTTCAAATTTCCTTTTCGTATATGAAAATGCAAAAAAATACGAAGCTTGCTAAGCTCACGTATAATACRATCAGACCAAAAGACTGCAAATGATAAAACTAAACTTGATGCATTTATGTGCGGACACACTAACCAGGAGCACTTGAAGAAAATCAACCAATCACRGCATAGAGTGAAAACTTGAACCAATCAGGAGCAAGCAATGAAGCCTGGATATCCGAGGAAAAATGAAGATGAGAGATTGTGATTGGGTGAGGCCAACATGATACTGATTTGCTTTTTCCTGATTACCAAAGGTTTTTATCTTAATTTTCGTTAAATTGGTTCCGTTTAGTGTGTCCGCACTGTAACGACGCCATAGTTTGATCATTTCTATATCAATGGGTGCATGTGTGAACTCATTGTAGATCGAGATTGCTTCAAAGTTGAATAAGTACTAATACCATGTGCTTCTGAGGTCTTTAATAGCTAAGTATATTGTTTAACTGCATAAAACTAACTTTTTCTGACAGCTAAATTTTACACAGTTAAAATAGTCTCTACTGGATAACAGATGATTAATGAGGTGTTATAACTGTGGCAATAGCTCATTTCCATGATGGYTTCATTTCACTACCACTACCAAAATGTTTCGCAAATTTTCTTTCTTATTCAAATTTGTATTTTTTCATGAGAGTAATTAGACAATTGGTGCTAATTAACTGAACAAAAGAAAGGGTGCAAGGGAGTCTGTTAGTGCTAGTAAATGATGCTATAATACAAGTGACCTATTAACTCGAAGTAAGGCCTAAAAACTGCATAGCAATGAAAACTCAGTACTGTACAGATGTTTTCACATAGATAATTTGATTTTTTTTTTTTTAAAGTGAAATATCTAGATTTCCACTGGGATGAATCATCGCATGGTAGCAAGTGTAATTATAATAGTGATGAGAGTAAAAGTACGAAAGGCATGGCCACCATATTGGTTAGCATGCCACAAAGACACCAAAACCAAATGTTTTGTCAAAGTCAACCAAAATGGTGGCTAAGAATGGTCAGTGATTACATGCATCTCAAGATTAATTGCAATGATGTGTATTAATTAGCTTTAACCATCTTAACATATTCTTGTCGAGCAGGGTGTTCATCTGCTGGTCTGTTGTGCGGTGTCCAGACTGGCTCACCAACAAACAACCTCTTGGCTTGGATATAGTCCTAGTGGCAATAAAAGAAAAAAAAAAATGATCAAAAAATTAACCAAATACTTGACCAAGTGATTAATGTAGCCAAAGCGCATGATCATGCATCTCTAGCACAAACCATGATGGGAAAAATCTTATTCATTTTCTATAGAAATGTAAGTATTCCAACAGATAAAAATTTCAATTACCCAAACGGAAGTCATCTTCATTCCCTGCTGATTGTCTTTTTCAAGGAAAAGAAGACTGCCCCCAACCATCACCTTTTCTGTTGCGCATGCATGAGTGTTACTAGGCAACTGATGACCTTGGGAATAGTGGGCTCATTAATAGTCAGCAGTTCTCATAAAAGGATATGCTCACTAGGATTGCAACACTTTTCAGTTGTTATGCATAGAGGTGTTCAATAAAATAAAACGTTTTTTTCATCCACAACCATGGATGGCAGTTAGATCAATTAAGTTAATTAATTGGGGCAATGGCTTCTTTTTTCTCCTTCTCCCCCAAAACGGAGAAAGAAAGAAGATTCTGCAGCAGGGAATCATGTTCAGAGTCAAATTAATCCATTAAGATTGTCAAAACACCAGTCACCACTAACAACAGTCTTTCTGAAGACTACACCTCTCAGCTGGACCATAGAGAAGGCCACAGGTTTGTTAGTGTACAGTATGTAAACTATAACGGGTTTATCCTCTTGAAATAAATTCATTATTATTATTACTATTTTTATTATTATTATTATAACACACTCATCATACATGACTCTTTACTAAAACACACTTGCTTTGATATTTCCCCATAGTTTATTGTCAATCCTCATGCTTAGTAGCCATTAGCACATATAAGCACATGTCAAAATAGTTTGGTGGTCTTGGAATTGCAATCAATCCCAGTAGGAAAGTGGATAAATTATACAGAAATACCCAATACGTATTCCCTTACGAAAGAAAAGATGGAAGACATGCACCATACTTACTTTGTCATCAAGGGTGAAGCGATGATAGATACCGGCAGGAAGAATAATCAAGTCTCCCTTTACAACTTCAATACGAATCCATTTGTCATTGAAATCACGGACATCAAAGTATCCACTCCCATCAGTGATGAAACGGATCTCCTCATCAGAATGCAAATGCTCCTCAAAAAAGATTTTCAACTGTTGAGAAAAGAGATATTTTTTCATTAAGAGAGAATTCTTTTCATATTCAAGCAGTGAGTGCCAAAAACTATTTTCTTGAAGAAAGGCTGTTGTACAAGGCTAAAATCTTGTTATTTAGAAAGTTTAACTTGTTTGGAAGTGGAGATGACCAATGAAAGTGGAATCAAAGTGTTAACTCGAAGCAAAAATTTTATTTGAAAATGAGAAAACACAAACGCAACAAAACATCTTTGTACAATTGAAAATACCACTTCAAATAGGCATTTTATCATAGTACATCACTTTCTAACTGTTTAAATAAGGTTTTGAGTGTTAACCCAAAACGAAAATTGGGATCAAAACTCATAAGAAAGTCTAGTTTTTGGCGCTTTTTGCCATTATTGCTCATTATTGAAAACAATTTCCTCTTAATGTGTTTACGAACGGTAAAGTCTGTGACACGGTTCAGGCCATCCTAATCTTTTCCCATCTCATTACATTATTCTTATTTGAATTATTTTTCTGACTTTTGGCAAAGTTTGACAAGACAGGTACATGCAGTGCATACTTCAATATGTTGGTGCAGTTTAAGTAAATTATACACTAAGAGGTCTGACGTAGTAAAACATATTTTTATAACCATTTATTAACTGAAAAATCCACCAATTTTGGTTGTTGTTTTTACACGGCCCAACCGGTTTTAGCAAAAAAACTTCGTGCCTTAGCATTACCTTTTGTTCATAGTTTGGGAGTTTATCTGGTGTACATGTGATGTTGTCCTCGTATGTGTAGCCCCGTTCCTTCTTTATCTTGTCTAGCAATCCCTCAGCATCAAAGTTATCAGCATCCAACTAAAATCAAATGGAATAAGAAGCAAACGACATTTGTATCAATTTAAGCGTTTTCAGCTTATTTGCATAGGCATGTGCAAATCCAAGGGTAGTCCCTATTTTTTAAATGGCTGTGACCAGCTTTAGTAGCCACTAGAAATAAGAATGGGCATGTGAAAACAGATTAGTTCCAGATTACATTTTAATGAGGAGGGGGATGTTGAAACAAGTGTTCTTAACAAGTGGAATTTGTGTAGTGAGCACTTGTTCGCATTGGCCAAAAGTACTTATTGGATTATAAAACAATAAAATGAGGAAATAAAACAGCAGATTTGTTCAATGCCGAAAGGATCTTTTGTATAGAAAATATATGGGAAATAAGCAAATGAAGGCCTAAACCTCATTTTCGAATAAAATTTTTGCTTTGGGTTAACACTTTGATTCCACTATAATAAGATTTTAGTCTTGTACAACAGCCTTTATTCAACATTCAGTTTTTGGCGCTCACTGCTTGAATACGAAAAGAATTCGCTCTATGTACAATACAATCAAACCTCTATCAAACAGTTGACTCTCAAGAAGTGATTATAGAGTTTCATAAAATGTAGGATGCTCAACTTGATGATGGCAAGACATCACGTTTAACATGATCGTAATATTGGCTCAATCTGGATCAGCTATACCTCTATCATCCGGGCTATCATATTCTAACTTAGTGACTGTTAATAAAGATAAACAGTAAGCGGTTTTAGGGGATTTAATAAGGAAATAAATGAGCACCTAAAAGAGGTTTGCCGAGGTTTGACTACTGTACTAAATACGTTTTGCCTACCTTCCAGTAAAGTACTCCCAATTGTTTTAACTGATCCAGTGAAACAGGCTGAGGTGGATCTAACTGATGAGGAAGTCTCTGATCCTCGTCAGAACTGTCCATGTACCAAGCACGCACCATGTTTTATTATTTTAGCCCTTTAGGCAGTATTAAAAAAAAAACGGAATAAAAAGCAAAACAGCAGTGAAAACTAGCAGTCAGTTCTCTTACGTGAAATGTGATGCTGCTTAGTCGGGTGGCCCAATGCAGAGTAACCAGGCCTGTGTGGTTGACCTAGTTTTTTTTCCAGTCTCTGCGCGTGCCGGCAATATAAGTATAGGAAATCGCACGATCTCGAGTACAATTTGGAAATTAATAGACACGAGTAATGTTTTGAAAGTTCTTGTAATTGCACGAGCCTTTAGGCGAGTACAAGGTCCGTGTAACACTCCACAAAGAGCTTTTCAATTTAGTTGGCGTGAATTGGACATATGAAATTTGCCTGATTTTTGAATTTTCATTTTTTATGATCATGTCAAAATTCGAATATTATCTCATCAATGTCAATTTTCAATTTTCGAATTCAAAAATTAAAAATTAAAATAAATATTGGAAAACTTTGGAAAAATATCCTGTAGACAGGGGGAGGTGAAGATTAGGCGGACTGAGGGTAGGTGGGTCCACTAACAACGACAATAATTTAAAAAAAAACCATAGAGGGAGGGGAGGCACCAAGGAGGGTGTTATAACAACATGTAAAACTTGAGAGAAAACCATGGAAGAATTTTCGACCAATTTGTACGATGATGAAAGCGGAAGTGGACCCACCTACCCTCAGTCCGCCTAATCTTCACCTCCCCCTGTCTACAGGATATTTTTCCAAAGTTCATTTTCAGAGTACAAAATCAAAATTTCGAAAAATTTCGAATATTTATTTTAATTTTTAATTTTTGAATTCGAAAATTGAAAATTGACATTGATGAGATAATATTCGAATTTTGACATGATCATAAAAAATGAAAATTCAAAAATCAGGCAAATTTCATATGTCCAATTCACGCCAACTAAATTGTAAAGCTCTTTGTGGAGTGTTACACGGACCGCCGTTCATCGTTGTCTATTTGATTTTCAGTCCATCGCGCAACTGAAATGCATAAAAAAGATTAGTCCTTACGGCTTTAAAATTTTATTTATGTTTTTTAAGTACAAAATGATAGAAAAGAATTGTTTTGACATTGTTTTGGCCGTGTTGCCATAGCGACATAATTCGGTACTCCTACAGAGTACAATTAACGCTATAATTGTACTCCTCTCGACCAATCAGAGTCGAGTAATTTTGTTGAGTGTACTATAATAATAATAATAATAATAATAATAATAGTATAATAATAATAATAACAATAATAATAACGATTTATTGAAGCATATTTACAGAGTAGCTCTACATCTTCAACAAAGGTGGGTTCGAATCCCTTCTTATCCACATAAGATCTTTCCTTTTTTATCAATTTTTTATTAATTTAAATCTTCCACAATAAGGCAATCTTTTTAGTGAATAAACCTTTATTTCTAGCAGTTGTTCATAAGCCTGTATAAGTTCGATCAGACGTTATCAGTCATATAAGCATTATCGATCCGCGAAAAGTAGAGTTATGCTTTCCTATCTTTTCTGGTAAAGTTTGCTGACAAGAACATTTACTGCAGTTGGATTTCTATATCATATACCCGCAAAGGACTACTGGGTGGTACCGTAAAGACTTTTGGGTACTATTGGCTTTTTCTGCAATTTATGACAAGGAAAATAAACAGCCACCCCAGTAAATAATATACTAACAGGGGGTGATAAAAAGATAAGAAAATTAATTGGTGATTCTGACTGAGAACTTTGGATACTTGATCTCGTTCCGTCATTGCGGAAGATCAAATTCACAAGAGGCCGCGACGACGTAACGTGCAATTGAGGAATAAGAACAAAATCTCTAGAGCACGAATTTTAAGCTGAAAATCTATATATTTTATAACCAACTCATTAAAATCATGGTTGTGCAGTGGTATACTTTAGTAAAGAAACAAAGCGTCAGTTATTTAGGACGATGTAAAATGAAAATTGATCAAAATCTTTTGAAAAAAAAAACAAAAAACATTTTCCAGTGTAGTAGGGGGGAGGGGAGGGGGAGGTAGGTGTGGGACTGAGGAAGTGGATTGAGCCCTTTTAACAATCAAATACGGTTCAACTATGCCGTTACGGTATCCACTGGTACTGTGTTCAATCAGCATATTTCAATCATGCTTCCTGACTGCAATAAATACCCAGATCACAATCATTCAATATTTAATGTTTTTTAATATTTGGACACTTTTTTGAAATACCAAGGACCATTATCATGTTTACCGGTGTTTGCATTGCTACGTGGCCACCCCAGACAAAAATCGTTGACGCCATTTACACGCGTGTGTGATTCAAAAGGCGCCAAAACTTCGGTCGATTGTTTACAAGTATTATGAGCCACACTCGCGTGGCCTATCCGGGCCGATCCAAACGCGTGTAAATGACGTCAACTTGTTTGATTGACGGCAGTCTATTGCAAAGTGCACGTCGCGATTTTTGTCTGGGGTGGCCGCGTAGCAATGCAAACACTGGTAATATAAGATGTTAGTTATGATAGAATAAGCATCATATTCACTTCACTTTTCTGAGGATCTTTATACACAACACAACAGCAGGGCAAAACGTGAGAAGAAGAACAAGAATCACTCAACAATCACTATAAACAGGATTATTGTAATAATTTAGAGATAAAACGTATCCGATTTTGATGAAACACTTCTATTACAAAGTGCAAACCTTTTGTTTCAATACAAAAGTTTGAATTAAAACTCTTAGATCTTGTTATTCTCAAAGAGCAGCTGCTTTCTTTTCTCCTTGTTTCTCAGCGAAGTCATTCATGCGCTGTTCTATCTCTGGTCGATAATGACGAATTAGACCCTAAAATGAGAAGAATATATTCATTATTTATTAACACGAAGAATAATCTTGATATTGAATGTAGAGTTCATACCATGAAAACCTTTGTAAGAAATTGCACAAATTAGTTCAGACCTCAGTAGACCTTAGACCTACAAAACTTTGCACTAGTTTGTACAATTTGGATAGCTAACTTTTTCACGGATATATGGGATGCACTATATGATGCTTTTTTTTTAATGACACAAGACAATATAACTAGATATATGGGGAGGGGGGAAGGGAATTTGGGGAGGGTCAAATCTTCCCCCTCCCCCTCCCCCCCACCCCCTACACACACATCTAACTTGCCTGCTTGCAGCCGAACAACCTCAATATATGTAACAATCCAATATATGTTTATTATCTGAGTTTGTTCAATGTTTATAGTTGTAACTAAGCAGAAGCTAGAATCCCGGATGCCTGTGAGTTCTTTAAGTCCCAGACACCTTAAACTAGCTCTAGAGAACAAGGAAAAGTATATTTTGATTGACTTTATATTTACCTGGACTGGCCAAGCTGCACCATCACCAAGGGCACAAATGGTATGTCCTTCAATTTGCTTGCTCAACTCCTACAGTACAATAAACAAGAGTGGCAAGTGACACACTATCTAACAACACATTGACAATAGCAAGTAAACTCGACAAACTGATATTATATAATAAAAATATTTTTCAATGCCCTGTACTGTACATACCCAAAGCATATCGATTTCATCAGGTTTAGCATTTCCTACAGCTAAAGAAAGACAATAAAAGACCAGTTAAAACAAATACTAGTTCAACAGAGAGGATTTACTCTCACTGGTGGATTAAGTGCAAACACTGTATATCCAGACAGGGCAGAAAAACTGTTTTTGGCTTTCGTCATAAGGAGAGCTTTACGTATTTAAAAGCTCAATATTTTGTAAACACGTTCTCTTGGAGCCAAGCAGCAAAATATCAAATGCGACCAAAATTTATTGAATGCGTATTTGAGATATAAAGCCGTGTACTTTGGGAGAGGTGATATTTTGATCAGCAGAAAAACTGACATTTTCGTGAATACTAAGTAGATTTTTACTCTAATGATTCGACAAAATTTCGTCACAAGTTTCGAGCAGCAATGAAACACATGAAACGCTTGAAAATTTTGAGTACTAAACTCAGTTAAATAAAAAAAAATCGTGGAAGTAGCGGGCTTGTCGTTTTTCTGCCCTGTCGTATATCCATGAAACAGTGGTAAATAACTACTGTACCATTATTTGTACTACATAGCATTAGAGAACAGTTACATCTACGTTGCACTATTTAGTGTTTTACAAATTAAGTGTGAGTACAATAGCTTACCAATTAGAGTGGTTTTTATAAACCCATGAAACAAAGTGTACTACTTAGAGTAATATAGTCGGATAAACACAATAGAAAACAAAAGAATTTAAGTGTAATAGTATGAAAACCACTCTATATATCTAGAAAATTAACCCCACTTCCCAAATACACACAAACACACACAGCTTTCAGTATTTATACAGTAGTTAAAATCTTAACATAGAAGCCATACGATAATCAAGGGGGGCTCGTCAGTCCCAGTTTCTTACCAAATCTGTTCATGATCTTGAGCATCCAGTTACATCCTTCCCTGCAAGGAGTGCACTAAGTAATAAAGAAATCAGTAAATTTGCAAGGAATTTAAAACAATAGGGGGACATTGAAGAAATGCATATTTGCAACAAAGCTAGGCCACATTCTCTTTGAAAAACAAATCATCAAATATGGTATTTGCTCCTTCAGTGCAACTCTTTTTTATTTCTACATATCTGCACTGATCATTATGGTGACTACCATATCCATCATGATTATCATCAACATCATCATCTTTCTCCTTTTTCTCATCAACATCAATGTTGTTATCAACATCATCATCACATTGTATATCACCCCCTGATCGATATATTTCCATCAATACCTTTTTTTACATTGATTATATATCAAGAAAGCAAGACAGAAATCACTTACTTGTCCACAGCTCTCGTGCTTATAAAATTCTATCAGTCTTGCTATTCCTTTTACAATATCACTCTGAAATAAAATGAAAGTTTTGAACCTTTCCCCACCGGTAATGGAAGTAAATAAAGTCATCAGGAGAACTACAGTATCTATTAAAGGTCATACCCAATATACTGTACAGTACCAGAGTGCATTACTCTCTCTAACTCGGAAAATATCCCCTTTGAAAGGGATTTAGTACAAAAGTAAATTATTCCATAAACACGACTCTTCGTAATGAATGCTATCAAACAATGTTCAGGACGTGTAGTTACCTGTTTGTTAAAGACTATAAGAGCTGCTGTTCCTAAACCAGTCTGGGCTTGTACAAGTGCATCGAAATCCATCAAGACATCTTCACAAACACTAAACCAAAAATATATAAAAACCATAAATATGTGTTTCATTAATATATACATGTTACTATTAATATGCGATAACGAATAATGTATTTTTTTAAACATCTGTTAATATCTGTTAAGGCCCAGTTTAAAAGTCAAATTTCACATGTGACAAATTGAATACAAATGAATGCAAACAATAGGTTTTGCTCATTTGAATTGCACAACCCTTTTGTCTTTACAATAGTAACCATGATGGGTGATGGTGATGATGGATGATGATGATGGTGATGATGATGAAATTAATGTTGATGATGATGAATGATGTTAATGGAAGATGATGATGGTGATGATGATGAATGGTGTTAATGGAAGATGATGGTGATAATGATGGCATTAATGGTGATGATTATGAATGATGTTAATGGAAGATGATGATGGTGATGATGGATGATGATGATGACGATGATAATGGATGGTGATGATGGATGATGATGATGACGATGATAATGGATGGTGATGATGGATGAT